CCAGAGTGAAAGAGGATGAGCCGTGTCGACGAATGCTTGAATTGAAATTCTTGCCCGAGATCCTTTTTCGATGCGTCGTATAGGTGGCAGTTATTGGATCCGTATAAAAATCAAGCTTTTGCCATGAAATTCAGTATGTAGTCTATGAAATACTGCGTCCATTACATTTTACTCCGTCGTGAGATCATTGTATGAATCGGGTTCCCGAACTGAATTTTCGTTACTGTATTATTGTACAGATACGTGACGGGGCTCTCTCGAGTATATCGAAACTGCATGGGATGTCTCTGAAATGTGAAGGTCCTGTCACGAATAATAGAGGCTGCGACGAACCAGATGACAAGCTTAACCAGATGCACCTCTTGGCAGTTATTCTCCTTTAACTCAAAAAATAGTCTTTGGATTCCATTTGGTGTAAGTGGGGGGAGGGGGGTATCCCAAAGCTTTTTTGAGTATTTGCCGACTCTTGAGGTTATACAGCGGATAATGTGAAAAAGTGCAGAGTTTCGCTCAAATCGGATCAGAAACTATCTGTATCCCTTTGCTGAAGGTCAATGCCCAACCGCGGATTCTACTCGTCAACGTCGATGCGTCAATGGGCCATGTCCCCTCTGGGACGAATGGTCCGAATGGTCCGAATGTCCATCTTGCTCTAGTATTCACCGTAGGACAAAGACAAGGCGATGCTTCGCAATTACAAGCGAGGGCAAGTCATCATGTGAAGGTGAGTTCACCCCGCGATATCCTTATGACTTTCTTTTCTATACTGAGATTGTTCTCATCAGGACCTACACAACGTGAGGAGCCATGCGATGAGTATTGTAGAAATGCTGGCATATCCGATGGTAGCAATCATCACGATATCGAACTTATAACTGGAAAGGGTAGACGACGGGTTAGTTATATACACTCACTGAATTTTCACTTTTTCAAAAGCTCTCTTAATTCCCTTATTCCAAGATGGTGCGCTTCGTTCCGCGCGTCCGTCAAAACTAGGTCACGCCGCAGCCGTCGCACGCGACGCGTCGGCACGCGATTTTTGACAAACGTCGCAGTT